TTACAATCATGACTACAACCAAAATTTAGTATTATCCGTTCACTGTTGGGCCAAAGCCGAGATTAGTGGCTAGGATGTTTTGCTGCAAGTGCATTCCGTTCACTAGAGTGTTGATCTGTTTATTGGGTTCTGTGTCCAGGTGTCTTCTACCTTTGTGTCAGTGTTACGGTTAATGATTTTGTATTGCGAGTTTTTGCAGTTGGTTCCTCTTTCTTGACCGTATATTTATTTGGTATGTCTCTATTAGAAATAGAGGTGTATAAAAATACCAGACCGGCCGATCTGAATTAAAAAAATTGGATAATTTTTCTAAAATAATCACTCGTCTGGGTTGGGTACCCGGCTCGACATTTCCCAGGTCGGGCCTGAATCACAAAATTGAGTTTTATCGGATACCTGGTTACCTGAGTACCCGATTAGTTTATATATATATAATCCAATTACTAAACCATTAACATAATAACTTGTATAAATATTGATATTATTTGTAATTGAATTAATTGGATTAAGTTTTGATAGTTTAGTAATTGGATTATGACTATCAAATATGATATTAATTTAATTGGATTTTAATTGAATTAAGTTTTGATAGTCTAGGTAATTAAATTATATAAATGGGTGTTGATTATAATTTAATATCATAATTGGATTAAGTTTTGATAGTTTAGTAATTGAATGTCAATGACTATCATAATTCATATTTACCCTAGTTAGCTATGGATTTTTATGTTTTATTTATATTATGGATTATTAGATTTTGTATTTCGAACTTTTAAATTTTATGTTCGGATGTTGTAGTATGTAATTCGAAGTTTTGAACATTTAAATTTGTGTATATACTTTTTTAAATTAATATTTTGAAAATGAAAAAAAAAACATGGTACCCGCAAAATCCGGATACCTGCAACATTTAGGTCGGGACACGGGCCGACAAATCAACTACCCGAAGACCTGGGTACCTGACACTTCGGGTACCCGAAAACCCGGATACCCGAATTTGAACACCCCTAATTAGAAATCGGTAGGTGAACCCATAAAAGGGTCAAAATGGTAATAGAGTTGTTTTTTAAAAGGTTTTAAATTCGAATAATTACGTTTGTAGAGTATATACATTATTAATAAATTAATTTTTTAAAATAAAAACTGCATTATAATCAATCATATTATTAAAAAATTAGTAATTATAAAAATATCAAAACTAAATAATATAAATAAAATATACAAAAGATATGATTTGATGTGATTCTATATTATTTATCTCCACAAATGAAAAATAATAGTAATCCACAAAAAAAATGAAAGATCTTGAAAAATACAAAGCATACTAGTATATAATATATAACAAAACCCATATATATATATATCAAAATTTTATTTATAAAAAAAAATTCTTCTAACATTCCTATAAAACTCATTTATACAATATAAAAATTGAAAGTTATTGAGATATTACATCTTTTTATAATAATTTTCTCTCATAATTTTAAAATTTAAGACGACTTATCTTATATTTACATAGAAAACAAACTTAATCACAAAGATTCATTATTTCATAAAAATTCTTACCTAAATAAACTTAAGGTTAAACTATACCATATCATTGAATTTTAAGTTGTATATCATTTGTACTAATGAACTTCTAATTTCTTCAATTATATTATTAAATTTTAGTTTCAACTTAAATTATGCCATTAGCTAGGTAGTTATATTTTAACGGTACAGTGATATGGTTAAATTTTTCTGTCATTGTGATAATGTGTACAAATGATGTCATTTTAGCATGATTATTTATTCCCCAAATAATGTCGTTTTAGGCACTAAACTTTAAAAGTGTGTCAATTTTACCACTAAACTTTAAAAAAGTTTAATTTTTTGCACTAAACTTTTTCCGGTCGTAGTTGGCAGCCAACTGTCGCCCGTCACTGTCGTCTATCACAAGATCGATATCAAAAAGTTCACATTTCACTCCTATTTCTTTCTGGATTGGTTTTTCACGAAAACCACTCAAAATCGACGAAAATCTATTTAAAGGTTCGACGTACTAATACTATGATATCCTCCGTTGGACGTCCAATGATGCTAGTTTTGATGTATATTGTTCATCTTCTCGAAATAATGCTTCTCATTGTTCGGATTTTCAAACAAACACCATAAACCCTCCAAATCTAAGAAAACACCAAAAAACCCCCTAAAATGATGACTTTTTGTTTAATTTTTCGTTAATTTTGAGTGAGTTTCATGGAAAATATCATAGGAATAGAAAAGTGAGTGAAATACTAACGTTTGGGAGTTGAAATTGAGCCAAAATGATAAGATTGACAAATAAAAAGACATTTTTATAAGAATATATTAATAATTTTATATACATTCGATTAGATCCATACCCAACCCAACCCAAATTGACCCGAATATTTAATGGTTGACCCGAATCAAAAATTCACCGGTCCAATTTTGATGCAACATGAAAATCGACCGATCTAACCCAAAAAGCAGTCAATCTGATATTAACCTAAGTAAAAAATCAACTTTTCTGATACCCGACTTGGTCTGACTTATCATAAACTAGATTCAGTATGACCCAAATCAAACCTAAATCAAATACAATCTAGACCCAAAATGTCATTATATGAATAATTTAATTGTCACTCTAAATAAAAGTATCAAAACAATAAGTATAATTAAGATTTGAGTACCAACTTAAGAACAAAAGTTATTTAAGTATCAACTTAGGAAAAGTATCAAGTCTATGTACCACATGTATATTCAACCACACACACACATATATATATATAATAAATAGTTTTTTGGTACATATGAAAATAGTTTAAATATTTTTTTGAATAATCGGATAATTATAATATAATATATATTCAAAATCTTTTTTAAGTTATTGACAACGTATATACACCATGCAACTACTCTAACTCAGGAACTAGAAGAGAACACCACTCCCTTTAATCATTGAGATCACTCAATTAGTTCGTTAAAAATATAAATAAGGATAAACTACCTATCTAGTACCCACCTATTCTTGTATTTTTGTTTTTGATCATCATTAGGATTGACGATTCACTCAACCAAAATTAAGATGTGACCTGATATAATAATAATTTGATTCTCTCAAACTTATACATTTTATCGAATTGGTATTAATTTAAATAATTCTAAAGATTTTTAATATTTAAAAAAAAATATCAATTTATCCAATTTCAATTTAAAATAATTGTGAAGTTAAATTATTTAGAAAAGAAACATACATTGACAAGTGTTTATCTTGAGCAAGAATGGTGTCATAGCTATGTCCATGAAAACGAAACAGTATTTATGCATACAAAAAGCGGAGAATCAGATTTCCATAATTCTAAAATCCCAAGTAAAAACCCTTATTTTCCCAATAACTAAACAAAAACAATAATAAGTAGTAAAAGCTAATAATTAACAAAGACAACCAAACATGAAAACATGCCGAACTACGGATCTGTTATTGCCAACAGAAACCAAGACAACAGATCTAACAAATGTAATAAAGACCCACCAATATCAAATACATTTTACTTATCCCGTCATGAATTTTATTTTTGTTTCGCATAAAATTCAAAATCCTCTCGTCTCATGACTCGTAAAGTTAAAATTTCTTCTTCTCTGCCCCACTACGTACATCTTCGGAGTCATTTAATCTTCACTTAAGAAGCCACTAACCGGTACAAAGAGCGTTAGTACCTGACCATAATTTTTGAAAACTTTTGTCGATGATGATCATTTTTATTTGGTGCAGTGGCTGATGCATCACCATCGATGAAGAAGATGACGGCCCTTAATATGTTATAGTTTAATATCAAATAAGGAGCTTAGCTCAGTGGTTTAGGCGCTAAATCATCTTACCAAAACTTTGGTTTGATTCTCCCGTTGCTTGGTTCTTCTTCAATTAATTTTTCAATCATAATTTTAATTAGAGATTAAATTTATTAAATTGAATTAAAACAATGACTAAATTAATAAATTTATAAATATTGATGAAATATCTGATTATACTATTTTTTTAATAGTTAAGTGTTAATCGCAAATCACTTAATTGATACAATTAAATTGACGAAATAATCTGATACAAACGTAACGAAGAAGCTGTAGTTTACATAAATGTGAAGTAAAGAACTTTCAGGCCTCAAACAATTTACCAAGAAATAAGTTCAAGTGGGTTCGCTATTCAAGGATGGCATCGACCGGTATATGATTGTGAAAGGTGTTGGTTTACTGGTTTCGGTTCGCATTTGTATCAACTTGGAAAAGAAAGGATAAACTACACAAATGGTCACTAATATTTAAATAAGTTTTCATTTTTCCCAATGAATTTTTATGAGTAATAAATTAGTCATTAATATTGTCGATTTGTAACAAAATAATCACTCTACCATCATCTCCGTTGGATTGATGATGTGGCAATGTTAACAAAAAAATTAATATTTAGTTTTATCCCAAAACTACTGCTAAAATAACAAATAGGTCATTGAACAATGATTTTAAATCTAATTTACCCTCAAAGATTTCTAATTTTCGTTTAAAATTTTGTTGTAAGAATGATTATAAAAAACTCCATTAAGTTTGATGTTTCTTATATTTTATTTACGTGCACATTTATTTAATTATTTAAAGAAATATTACTAAAGGTTGGATTTAAAACAAACATTGAGATTCATTAAAGAATTTAAAAGGTCGTGTTAATACGGGAGGGTGACGTCTATTTTTATTTTGACACTAATTGGGATAAAGTTACTTTTTTTAAAAATAATACTTTATGGAATGTTATTGCCGTGATTACTTAGAATAGCATGTTTGGACAAATTATAGATGATTTGATATGAAAAAAGAAAAAAAAAGACGGTATATACACTAAAAAGTAACTACAATAGACAATAGAGTGGAGTATAGAGCAGCATCCCTCGCCTGGTCTAGCTTATTATACAGAAATGAATATATATATATACATACATATATATATATAGATATATAGAAGAATCAAGCAGAATCATCAAATCAACATAAAATATAGAAGGTATAATCGACTGTGGATGATGATAATAAAGACTGGCGACCGAGGGTCTAATGTACAGCTAAACCTAAGCTACTTCCATAGAGCCATAGCCATGGACATCACCATAATAGCCACCCAATGAAGCTTCCCTGGAAGGAATATGTTGGCTGATAAAACCAAGATGTACAACAATAACATATCAGAGTCGAAACAGAACAAAAATTGACATAAACTTGTTACAAAGTTTGCAAAGTTCACCTTTTCCACCATCCGGTGTTGCTTGCTGATCTCCGACCGTAATCCCCAGGCGGGAGCAATCGGATCCGAGTGTACCTTATAAATAAAGAAAACCATGAGCTTGATGAGTTTCTTCATTGAACTTCCACAGTATGATTACTGAAATTTTGAGTTTGAGTTCATACATTGACTGTAACAAGGGAAGTATGTTCTGTTTAGAAGATTCGAAAACCCGGGTCTGCATTCGCATACATGCTTGTATGTATCTGTTCTGTTGCAGGTTCCTTCTCCGCAGTAAGTCCAAGAGCAAGCTGTTAAAACAACCATAAAAAGAATCTGTAAACTATGGTTGCTTTTTTTTAGTCAAACATATTCGTTTCGGATACATATTTCAAAATTCGAGTTGAACATAGATTAAGATGTAGAGTGATTACGATCGAACGATGAATTGCGAGGAACTTCTCGCTGAGGTACTGGAGGAGGAGCTGGCTGACAAGAGTAATCAAGAGTGCCTGCAACAACAACAAAAAAGGCCAGAAACATGCTTAATCAAACTTCATGAAATTGAATAATAATCTTCCATGATGTAAACAACATAGATAGAAGATTGGAAAAGTTGTTTACAGTTGGGAATCACGCATGGTAGAAACCTAAAGAGGTTGACACCATCGTCGCTGCCGTCACGAGTTCTTGTCCAACCCGGATCACACTCACAGACGTAGCTCAAGGGAATCTCCAGTCTGGTCTGCATGTTCCCCTTCCACATTCAACATGATCACACAACTTCTCTGTTTTTCATCAAAAAGAAGAAGAAAAAAAAGTATCAGATACTAGATTCTTATTGATTACCATGAACTATACTCAGGGTTATCGTCCATATTCGATACATATTCGGATAAATATGAGGCACGTATCCGTATCTGACACATGAAAGTACCAGAAAAAGGAGCTAGAGCAGGAGATAAGTCATCAAAATCTCCACTAAAAGCTATGGGCAACAAGAAGAAGAACAAAGCTGAAAAAGCCAATTCTGTAGGGCGCCATATTCCAAGAGAGACTCTAGAGAATGCACTTCAAGAGAAGAAACTGAAGCTAGTGTCTGTTTAATTAAAGGGATATTTATATAAAGTAGAAAAATTGAAACTTTCTTAGGTACCAAACAACATGGAAGAAAAAGAAAGAAAGAAAATGGTAGAAAGAGAAGTTTCTCAGCATTTACCTAGAAGTTTCTGCAGAGTGAAGAAATTCAAGACAAAGACTGGGAATAGAGAATGCTATTCATTTTCTTCTCTTTGAATTGAATACTAATTTCAGTCGTTTTAATCAATTTTAGCTTTCAATGCTCAATACTATTTTATTGGAATATGCGTACGTACGTGAGATCACATGATGGATATGGTTCCGTTTCTTAGTAAGAATGTTGAATCTGTTGGTTATTTTTTATTCTAGTAAATGTCCCCTTTGAATTAGCATCCATTTTATTTATGTCTCGCATTTGTATTATTTGAATATGAGGTTCTACTTTTGAATATTAGAATAAGATACAGAGGTTAAGTCCGTCGGGGTGATCCAAAAATCTTAAATTTGAGTTTATTATATTGTTTTTACGAGTGTTGCTCAATATATCAGATTTCAAGACAAGAGTTAACCCATATACCAATTCTAAAATGAGCATAAGTTTCAAAATAAAAGATAAATAAAAAAGAAAGAAAATATCAAAATGAACCTCACATATCCACATAAATTGTCATCTCTCTCCTCACCGATGATTATCTATTTAAATCAAAAGAATAAATCAACAATCACATCATCTAAATTGTCGTCGGATTTAAAACATAATTAATAAAAATAAGGTAAGCTCAAACTTGATTTGCGATTTAATTTTTCAAATGTCAATTTATGAGATTTCCGTCTCGGTTGGTAAGTGTAGAATACAAGTTGGAAGCTTCCTTCCTCCACAAATTCACAATCAATAACATATTTTATATATTATATAATGGTTTGATCTTATATTATGGTTTGATCTTATATGCTTTTGCTTCATTGAAGAAGTTTTCAACGTGGTTTGTTTTATTTTAACATAGCAAATTTTCAAACCTGAGCTCCGGTTCAAGATTAAGCTTAGGAAGTCAAATTTTTAATGGAAGGTATATTTAAAATAATTATTTAATATATTAATGAACGAATTTTTTACAATAATTTTAATTTATCGTAATATAGTTTTAATTTAATACTTTGATAAAGTTTAAGAATACATGACATAGGATAAAACTCCAAGACTAGATTCTTTTGCATTATTCTTTCATTTATAGTATAATTTTATACATGGATTCAGAGAATCCAGATGGCTTGGAAGCCGCTACTCACTCCGAAAGCCAGTTATCGAGAAACAGAAGGTTTCCCCTGGAGATGGGATTCAAAAGTGCTCAGAAAGTAAGCCCTTTTTTTGTATTATACTTCTTTCCATGAATGAATTAAGATCAATACCCCAAGGTATCAGATGACTTGTTTGATTTTCTTTCATTTTCTATTCAACCTAACCCAGAAAAATTGATCGAATTCAAATCAATATGTCTCAAATGAAATTTGGACCAAGTTTGATTTGATTTAATCACATTTATTGTTACAATAAAATCACTAAGAGATTCTTGACTGCACTCCAACACAATACAAATACACAATTATCTCAAATTGTGTACACTGAAGTTATCAAAAAATCAAAATTCAATGTGAAATTAAATATTTTAAACATGATTACGACATTACAAGAAACACAAACATGATACAAATATATAAATGAACTACTTCACCTAGTGGAAGGCTACATTATTGCTAAATGTTGAAAGTACTTATCTCCAAAATTCAATCGCTGAAGAAAACCGGAAACCAGCATGATGAAGAAAATGAAAACTCGGGAGCTTTTTTCATGGTGGAGCAAGTGTGGAAAAGAAGGGATAGATCTTAGAATCAACTTCCTACTACGCCATGCAAGGGATGATGAAGTGCAAGGACGTCGTTTTGGAGTTGAAGGAACTCTTTTACAGTTGGGAGATGTTGGTTTTGAGACAAGGGTTAAGCATTTATGTTTGGGAAGCTCTGGAGTTTCATTTTTCTGGAATTCCATGAAGAATTGAATCAAACCTGGGTTGACATGACGAAGAATCTGATGAACCCTGTACTTGAGTAGAGCATAACTGAAGTGACGATTTAATGGAATGGGGAAAAATGCTGCAAGCTTCCCTCTATAGGCAAATGGCAGCCTGCAAAATGAACTAATCACTTGAAGGAACAATCATATAAGGATAGCCCAATGTTACTCAGATTCTATAATAACGTCTCTTATATGAATATGATCAATTTTTTAAAGTTTTTCAATATATTTAGAAGAATGTACTTATACCCATGTCCCAAATATGTTCAAATATGAGTTTTAGACAGGGATACATTCATATGTTAAAAGTTCTTTTATACTCGTACCCTGTCAACAATGTGTTTCTCCTGGATATAATTAATTCCTAAATTCCTTTTGTATATTTAGAAGAGATATTATCCATACCCATATTATGTTTGAAAACAGATATCAGGGGAAAACATATTGAAAAAGGTGAATAATACCTGGAAATATCAGGGGAAAGCACTGAAAGATGTGGATGCTCTTGACCTTTACTGATTACAATATCTGAGTTTTTCTCTGATGCATTTCTTTCGCAGGCCTCTAAATTGTCCCCATCAGATTCAGATTCATAACCTCCTAGTGAGGGAAAAAAATAAATGTTGGTTAATGAAAATAATAAAATAGGAACATCTTTAGTTCAACTACTCATTTATGAAGTAATCACATCCAACGTGTTCCTAATCCGACACACTCAAATCCATATAACATAGAATAAACATATCAAAATTATATAGTGAAATGTTAATTGTCAAAATTAATATAGTACACATTAATTGCAAATGTTTTATATAAATATAATCATAAATATGATTGTAATAAATGAAAATATGTTCACAATATAGATACAAAATTGAAGGTTTTAAGTTAATACACACGCTCACCATCCTTCCGACCAAAACTATTTTTACAACCTTCACACCTACAGCTGAGAGAGCATCCAATACCAGCCTTTAATACACAGAAGAAAACAACCATGTCAGATCGGTGAAGAAAGTAATTTAAGCGGAATGAGCTAAATAAACAAAAAACATCACAGTATTTTTAAGCAACTTGATCTTTTACAGTTGTTTCCTCTTTTTGCCTGGCTGAAGCTGGAGTTTTGTTATTTTCACCCTACATGAGCAACCACCATTTTCTATGTGATTAAACTAGAATTGCCAAAAGAAGAGGCGTTTTATTTAAATTTGGCAAAATCATCACTAAATCCAACTTTTCTCATAGTCTATGTTCTATTTTTTCAAGATTTCCTTTTACTAGGAGAGTCTTGGAGGAACATATTCCCATAATCATGCCTGGATATGCATCAAGCAGAAGTACAAAAAGAAAAATGAAAAAAAATTGGAGCAATGTAGCTGTTAACCATCCAAAGGAGTCATTATCCTAGGTTCATCTCCTTTTTCTCATGTGGACTTAATCAATATACCAAGAATAAGGTTAGACACCAAAATATGAAATGAGAAATATTTTGGTACTCGTGTCCAGATATGCATCAGATATGAACACTTCAAGGAAAAAAAAACAAAGTAACAGTTTTTAAACTTCCAAAGGAGTGTCAACATGCAAGGTTCACCACCCTTTTCTCAAGTCACATTATTCAATAAACCAAGAAAAAGGTACAAACCAAAAGTGATGAAAAATGCAGCTTAATGACTCTAATCTATGTCAAGTAGAAAAATGAAAAACCGGAACAACATAGATTTTTTTTTATCAAGAAGTATTCTTAGAGATAGAATCTAACCAAGGAGTCCAAAACACCGTCTGTGTTTCTAACCACTTTGGGAGCAAATTCAAGGATTGCGAGATTCAATCTGTCTGCGAGTCTCTAAACCACATTTCATGAATTGGCTTATTAAAGCAATCTTGACATGCACAAGGCTCAATACAGTATAGACTGGCAGCAAAGCAGTCAAAATAACATCACAAACATAAATATCTAAATAATCAAACGAAGGTAAACATGATTGTCAAATCACATTTCATGTCTTCATTTTAATAGGCTATTGAAAATGATTCATCAAGTAATCCTAGAAATCTAAAGCAACATGAAAACTTCTACCATTCAACATGTGCAATAGAATGAGGTCCCGGGTAAGTAAGGGAAACAAAATAAGTTTGTTTTTCAAAAGAATTGCTATTTAGCTTTAACCATGAATCCAAAATGTCTGTAGTTTTTATAAATCAATTATAGCCCTTTGTTATAGCTTTGAGAATCTCGAATCTTCTTTTTAGGTGTAAACCTTTGTTACTTGGACTCAGGTGCAAGAGTGGAATATAAGAATGTGTCTAGCACGGGTATGTTTAATGTTTTTGAGTTTTTCTATGTATTTAGAGAGTCATTAGAGGATTATTTTCCCATACACCTGTCCAAAAATGTGTTAGACACAAATTTCAAACATTAATACTTCCAGGAAAATGAACAGCATATGTTCAAACTGTTGTGGAAGACGGCTATCAGATAGAGCAAAATCGCAACTGATAGTTTGAGAAAATAAAAATGAAGATAAAGAAGACACAAAATTTACGTGGAAAACTCCTAAATAATATAGGGTAAAAACCACGGGCAACGGTAGAAAAATTTCACTATGAGAAAATAGGAATTACAACCTCTCTCGATCTACCAAGGAGAAAACAATGATAATTCTCTCTTGATAAAAAGGAGAAAACAACTCTCAAGAAACTCTCTAATTCTCTCTAGTATTGGAAGAAGCTAGAATGCTTTGGGATGTTTGAAGCTAAATGAGCTAGGGTTTATAGTAGAAGCTTTAAGGACTAATCTTGAAAATACCCTAAATTATAATGACTAATGTGAGATTTTGCCATGTCACTTTTCAACCATTATTAGTGCCACCTATGAACCTTATTGTTGCCAACTTACATGCATTATGAACCATTATTATGCATT